ATACATAGTGAGACAAGAGTCCATGATGATAAACTGGAATTAACTGTAAATAGCCACTATGGAAAAATTAAGATTGTCGATTGGTAAGTTATTGTAATAATAATAATATTATTAGTATGGTGCTAATTTATTTATTTCTTAGGGATGCAATGCAGTATAAGGAATCTGAAGAACCAAATATGAGTGGTTTTCTGTGGATATCAGAAAACAATGGAAACAGTTCGATATTTGTAAATATTCTTTATTTTGCCTCTTCACATAAACTCAATAATATTAATATCATTATTTTCCCTTCTAAAATAAAATTTATAAAGAAACCAATGACTAAAGATCGGGTTGAAATTGATTTAAACACTTTTAAACCTATTGAACCAACTCAAATTCAACAATCAACATCAACATTGTCAATATCATCATCATTGCCACCACAATATGATTCATCAATATCTACATCAAAAACTAATGCTACTAATATCATTGCTGTTAATACCTCCACTACTAATACTAGTGATATTGCTAATACATCAACAACAAAAATAAAACAAGAAGAGTCTATGCAAACATCTTTGTCCATGTCTTCCAATTCTAAATCTATTATTTCTTCAAAAGGCACAACAAAAATAAAACAGGAAAATGATAAAGAACAACAACAATTATTTGTTGGTAGTAATAATAATAATACCAGAAATTCAAACAGACCATTTTACAATAATAGTAATTCAAATACTAATAGCAGTCATACTAATAATGGTAATAATAATGATTCAAGACAACAAAACAGTGACCGATCTCGCTCAAATAATAATAACAACAATAATAAGCGGAAAGGAGCTACTAGACGTGATAGTTGGAGTACAAGTGATATTAGAGATCGTTTTGGACCACCTAATAACAATAATAATAATAATAATAATGCTGAAAATGATAAAATTGAAGATGGTGATTACGAAATTGGAAATAATGGATGCAGAATTTCAGATAAAAAAATTGGAGGAAGTGGGGAAAATAATAATAATCGTTATTCAGGTGGTGGTGGTCGTAACAACAACAACAACAACAATAGAGGTCGTGATTGGAATAATAATGATAATAGAGATAAAGTTAGTAGAATTGATTTTCATGATAGAGAATATAATAATAACAATGCTA